ACCATTTAGCATGTGGAACTATTTGCCTGTCAAAATAGACTAGCAGAGACAGGAAATACAGAGAGGTGACCGGCGAAGAGTGCATCCCAGAATTTTGGATTTTTTGTTAATTTAAATGGATTTTGTTGATTGAATCATTACATGTACATACAATCATTATTTTTTTATTATTAGTATTATTATTAGTATTTATTTTTTTTTCTTCATCTTATTATTTTAATGTTGTTATTATTATTATTATTTTCATAATTATTATTATTATTATTATTATTATTATTATTATTATCATTATTATTATTATTATTATTATTACTAATATTATCATTATCTTTATTATTATTATCTTTATCATTATTATTATCATAATTATTATAATTATTATATTTTATGATTATTATTATTTTTGTTATCATTATAATTTTTTATATTATTATGATTATCTTCATTATTATTTTTATTTATTATTATTATTATTATTATTATTATTATTATTATTATTATTATTATTATTTATGGTTTTTTATTTTTATAATTTATATTATCATTATAATCAATTTTATTATTATTTATTTTTTATCTTTATTTTATTATTGTTATCAGAATTATTATTATTATTTATTGATTTATCTCTATTTTTATTATTGTAATTATTATAATAATTTTGTTGCGTATTCCCTGCCATTTTATTTGTTTTTTGGATTTTATTTTGTCCGCATATTTTGTATTATAGGTTATAAGCGACAAACCTTAAAGATAGAACACTCTCCCATTTACAATGAATGGAAATTGTTTCCTATTATAAGAAATGGGATTTTCTCCCATATATCAACATGGGACTTCCCCCCTCCCCATAACCAGAATGGGCGTTTCACCCATGGGTGAATTTTCCCCGCAACGAAAATGGGATGATTTTTAAAATTACTTTTTATGTTTTTATTTACACAATTAAAGTATATGAAGACAACAATAATAATTTTGTAGCATAAAAGTTATTTCTTTTTTTTCTAAATCTTCCATTATTTTTAGCTTCCGTTTTTATAGAATGGGGTAAAACCAAGTATGGGATAGCAAACCCCCAGTGAGAGAATGATAAAACCCCATAGGGGACTCAGCCAGCATTCATTGTTAGGGGTATGTGAAATTTAAAGACCAGTTTTGGTATAACTTTATACCCATTGTTAACTCAACTCTTCATTTATTCTCTAATAACTTATCAAGAAAGGGGAGCTGAGTTTGCCAAAATCCCGGATTTGCAAACTTATTCCGGAAGCTGTTGACTAACAAGATTTTTCAATTTTTAGCTCCTGTGACGTAGTTTTCACCCGAGAAAATTCAGTATCAAACGTGACTTAGAAAACTTCAAAAACTTACTTCCAGATCAATTTCCAGGATATTTCGATCAAAATTGCAAGCACTTATGTGTTTTTTTTTCTTCGTTTTTTAGCTTCTGTCACCAAGGCTTTTTACCAGTCACAAGAGTGTTAACAAGATTTTTTCTTTTTTCCGCTCCTGTGACCTCGTTTTTGACCGGAGACGATCCATATTCAAACTTGGCCTTAAAATCATAAAAACATAAAAAAAACATCCCTGGTCAAATTTCAGGATATTTGAATTAAAACTGCAGTCACAAGAGTAAGTATTATCAAGATTTTTTCTATTTTTAGCTCCTGTAACCTAGCTTTTGACCCGAGAAAATTCAAAATCAAATTTGACCTAGAAATTTTCATAACAGCCATCTTGCCTAATTTCAAGAAAATTTGGATCAAAATTGCAGCAACATGTGTTAACAAGTATTTTCTATTTTTATCTCCTGTGACATAGTTTATGACTTGAGATGACCTATATTCAAGCTTGACCTAGAAATCATTAAACAACCTTCCTATTTAATTACAATATTAAAACGGTTAGATTTTACTATTTTTAGCTCCTATGACCTAGTTTTTTACACAAGACGATCTTTAGTCTAACTTGACCTAGAGATCATTGATAAATTTCAAGAATATTTGGACCAAAACTGCAGCCACTAGAGTGTTAACAATATTTTAGCGATTGATATGACTCATATTCAAACTTTGCCTAGAAATCATCAAAACAACATGCCTGATCAATTTCCAGGATATTCGGATTAAAACTGCAGCCACTAGAGTGTTAAGAAGAGTTTTCTTTTTTTATCTCGTGTGACCTATTATAATCAAACTTGACCTCGAAATCTTCAAAATTAACCTTCCTGGCCAATTTCCAGAATATTTAGATCAAAACTGCAGGCAATAGAGTGTTCACAAGTATTTTTTTATTCTAGCTTCGCCAATATTTTATATTGTATATGGGCCACTGGGGTGGGCCAATTTTAACTCAATGGCTTTTATTTGAACAATTTTGGTAGACCCCCATTTGAAAGTACTTCTTGATAAATATCTAAGCTCTAGCTCTTGGTTTCTAAAAGAAGATTTTTTAAAGTTTTTACTTTACACATATAGGGAAAAATAATGACCACCCCTCTTTGGCGGGGCCAATTTTCACGCGATGTATTTTACTTCAACAAACTTGGTAGACAATCACATGAGGATAGTTCATGCTTTGTATCTAAACTCTAGTTCTTTGGAGTTTTTTTATATAAGATTTCTTTTTTAGTTTTTATTATAGTCATAAAGAAAATCAATGACCCCCAGGGCCGGCCAATTTTAACCCCAAGGCCCTTATTTTGAACAAACTTGATAGACTCCCATTAGAAGATGTTTCATGCTTAATATCTTAGCTCCTGCTCTTTGGGTTTTAAAAGAAGATTTTTTTAAGTTTTTACTATACACATATAGGGAAAAACAATGCACCCCGGCGAGGCCAATTTTGACCCAAGGGCTTTTTCTTCAACAAACTTTGTAGACAGTCACTAAAAGATATTTCATGCTTGGTATCTGAACTCTAGCTCTTTGGTTTTTTAAGAATATTGTTTCAGCTTTTATTATACACATAAGGAAAATTAATGACCCCAAGGGCCGACCCATTTTAACCCCATGGTCCTTATTTGAACATACATGATAGACTTCCATTAAATATGTTTCATGCTTCTTTTTGAACAAACTGGGTAGACACCAAAAAGAAGATGTTACATGCCTAATACCTTAGCTCTAGCTATTATAGTTTTTTAAAAGAAAGATTTTTTAAGTTTTTCAATATACATGAGGCGAAAATCCAATGACCCCTGGAAGACAATTTGACCGTATAGCCTCTATTGTAAATAACTCGGTAGACACCAGTAGAAAATATTTCATACCTAATATCTAAGCTCTAGCTAGTTTGGTTTTTCAAAAAAACGATTTTTTAAGTTTTACTATATACAAATAAGGAAATACACTGACTATCGGGACAGGACAATTTTGACCCCAGGGCATTTATTTGAACAAACTTTGTAGACATTGACTACACAATGTTTCATACAAATATATAAGCTCTAGCTTTTTCGTTTTTTTTTTTTTGTTTTTTTTTTTTTTCAAGAAAAAATTGTGTAAGACTTTTCTTTCGGTATATAAGATAAGACCCAGTCAGTTAATAAACACTGACCATTCAAAAAAACATATTGGAAAAGTTTTTGAAAGACATTGTAACATAACATTAAAACTCGAGAAAAGTGCATAAGGATGATCTTATATCATAATCGTAAGAACTCCTAGGCAATGAAAATAAAACAAAGCATTTAGATTCTTTCAAACTTCATTATAGAGTTTGACATTATGCACATGCAAGTGAGCAGGTAAACAATTAACGCTACTTTACATTTTGTTATAATTGTCTTTGATTGCAAAAAATAAACTAGAGCTCTAATACCCCTACCAGCAACTTTGACTTTTTGGAAAATAAATGGTTTCAATTAAATAATAAACTCGATCTTTAATCAAAAGTGTTAAAGAATTATTTAAATTGATTGCAATCCTTACCAGGATTTTCATATAAACTTGCTTAAATTTGTGTTTAATTCTCATTTCTTACTATTTTTGTCAAGAAACCATTGTTTTCTATTTTTAGTAATGGTTATCTTGACCTTGACCCCAAGGAGTTCCTAATGCAATACCAACCGGGTTTTTCATATAAGCTTGCTATAGACCAAGTTAGATTACAATATCTTACTTTACTCTTGTAGTGTCCAGAAACCCTTTGTGCTATATCAGTAGCGGTGACCTTGACCTTGATCACAAGGGTTCAAATCCAAAACGAACGAGGATCTTCATAGAACTTGCTATACACCAAAGTTTGATAACAACATTATATTACTAACTCTTGATATTGTCCGGAAACCATTCATTTAATTTAAGTAACAATGACATTGACCTCGACCTCGGGTTGTCCGAAAGCAATACAAACCGGGGTTTCACATCAGGTTGCTGTTTTCGATTCCTCATTCCAAACTTTAGTTTTATTCAAGAAACCTTGATGTGGACTGACCGAATGACATAATGACTCCTATAGTTGTTCAGAATTTATCATTAGTGATAAATGCTTAAATAATTGGAAAATTCCTTTTAGATGAAGAAGTTTATATATTTTTCTTTATCAATTATTGGTAAATAACCTCTGTAATAATCAAACTTTTGAAATATATTACTTACTCATCTTAACCAGGCACCAAATATAAACGCACAATGTCAATATTGGAAGAAAAAAAACTTTAAAAAATGTCTGCCTTAGACCTGTATTCATGTATCAGAAATATGAATTTAAGAAAAGTACAATTAAAATATTTAAACCAAAGGCTGCTAAAAAAATTTGCAGACTAATTTATTTGAAATTTTTTTCTTCAATGAAAAATATATTTTTTATTCAAAAATCTTTTAAAATGTTAGAAGAACAAAGCACTTTTTTGTTTCTGAATGACATATTTTAAATAAATCTTAAACAAAAGGGGTCGTATTATTTGCTCGACTAATCTTCCATTGTTAAGCAATATACACGGTGCTTTTTTAAACATATAAAATTACCGTTCTATTGTAATAGCGTCCTCAGTAGAAAGAAATCTTAACATCTAAATAACACTTTTTACAGTGTGTGTATTTTGGTGATCGCATTTTGAATTTGAGAGGGTACATATTTTGAAGTAAGCATTTATTTTATTTTTCTATTTATATTTATAATGTCAATAACAATGGGGTTTTGCATTAATTTTTTCTATAATGTGCGTAAAAAACACAGAACATTATCATAAATGAAATATCTGAGATCTTTGTAATAGATTTATTCATATCATAACTATGGACAATTTTGTGTCATGTATTTTGAGTATTAGCAAAGCTAAGATATCAATAATAGGCTCTTTAAATTGTTACTTTAATTCAAGTTTTAACATGTTTCAATTGTAAAAATGTTAATTATATTTATAACATTTGTTTGGTGTTCCTTTATATCATGAATATCGGATAATGTAAACTAAATTAAAGATATGACTAGTCATAAAAATGATATTATACTTTAATCATATCTCTGTCAACTGTAAATATATATGTATAGTAACAAATGTGTTTGCCATAACATATTTATAATAAGAAAAAAAAACTAAGTCAGTAACTTGCTGTTAAAGCAGTTGAATATAGCGCGCCACAAACAAACGCAACGGCCGCTGGGTTGTAGTGGTTAGCATAATGGACAGGTAGCCAAATACCTAACACTCGAGTCTGACTGTTGGTTTTTCTAGTGATTTTGTGCCCCCACGTTATTGGGCATTTAGATTTACCCTTAATACATTTCTTACTATATATAGTAAAATTGCCTATGATTTCAACTGATTATGAGTGTCACGTGACCTATTATGAGTTTGCGGCCCGGGGCCGAGAACTAGTTATCAGCCCGCAAAACATGTGCATGTGCACAAACTGAAACAATGACGTCATATTTTACGTCATCAAACAGTTAACTGTAAAAGTTAAAGTAGGTTGTAAGCACGAATCGCTTTATTTTTATTATGAGAGCTTTAGCGTATTAAGTACAAACACATTTTTGTTACTATTGAAATTTGAAGAAATAATACGACAAATTCATTCCGCAAAAAAAAAAAAAAAATGAAAATAAAACTTGCTTCTAGGAACACACAAACAGTAAACATCTACGTAAAGAACAGTAGAAGAGTAGACAAGGATTTCAACGAAAGAACTTCAAAGTATTTGTTGTTGTTGGTCTTTTTTTAAATGCTACTATTAGATCTACTTAGTGTATTAAAGACATTAATACACGTAAGATTAGGGCCGGAAGGTGATAATCGGCCCTGAATGAATAATGGCCCTCGGGCTAAAGCCCTCGGGTCCATTATTCATTTTGCAGGCCGATTATCATATTCCGGTCCTCTCCTGCCGTGTATTAACCTCTTATTAATACATTTGTTACTATATATAGTAACAAAATTGCCTATGATTTCAACTGATTATGAGTGTCACGTGACCTATTATGAGTTTGCGGCCCGGGGCCGAGAACTAGTTATCAGCCCGCAGAACATGTGCATGTGCACAAACTGAAACAATGACGTCATATTTTACGTCATCAAAAGTTAACTGTAAAAGTTAAAGTAGGTTGTAAGCACGAATCGCTTTATTTTTATTATGAGAGCTTTAGCGTATTTAGTACAAACACATTTTTGTTACTATTGAAATTTGAAGAAATAATACGACAAATTCATTCCGCAAAAAAAAAAAAAAATGAAAATAAAACTTGCTTCTTGGAACACACAAACAGTAAACATCTACGTAAAGAACAGTAGAAGAGTAGACAAGGATTTCAACGAAAGAACTTCAAAGTATTTGTTGATGTTGGTCTTTTTTTAAATGCTACTATTAGATCTACTTAGTGTATTAAAGACATTAATACACTTAAGATTAGGGCCGAAAGGTGATAATCGGCCCTGAATGAATAATGGCCCTCGGGCTAAAGCCCTCGGGTCCATTATTCATTTTGCAGGCCGATTATCATATTCCGGTCCTCTCCTGCCGTGTATTAACCTCTTATTATCCGTCCGTCATTTATTCTGTCATTCAGTCCGTTCTCATGTTTTGTCGTACGTAGCTCACAAAATATTTGACCTAGAGTCATGAAACATAACAGGAATGTTTGTCAGCATGTAAAGTTGCGCACCTTGGCTTTCGCTTGTGAATTTATCTAGTACTTAAAGAGTTATTGCCATTGAATTAGTAAAAATTTGCAATTTTCAACTATGGTCGTGTAAAGCTAGAGTTAGTTATTTCAATGGACTTAGAATAAGTTTGTTATTTTCAATTTTGTTCGGAATCTATTTGACCTGTTGGCCTGTAATATGATAAACCAGATCAACAAGGAATAGCGGCGTTCAATGAACGCAACCCCCATATGACCAAGCAACTAAGTCTATGAAGGCTGGACATGGAGGGGGACACCGACACTGTTTACAAGAATGTTGATCAGCCTGTGCACTTAAAAGTAAATGTGCAGAAAAAAACACCACTCTGGAGATTATTTGCTCACCTATATACAAGTTTCATAATAGTTTAAACACATTGTTTAATCAAGAGAAATGCCCTAGAGAATTCAAGCAGATGAATAACAACAAACTTGTGATCTGAATAGGTATTGGCTGAAATATCAGTTATCTCAAAAATGAAGTTTGATAAATTAAACAATGGATTGGGACTCAAAGTGGTGGTCTTAAAAGTGGATAAGTGGGGTTGTCTCAATGCGATCATGTAGCAATTAACTTAAAGAACAGAAATCCTGTTTTCTTTTAAACTAGAACTGGTCTTAATAGGGGGTGGTCTTAATTCCGGGTTGGTCTTAAGTAGGGATTTTACTGGACTGAATTCTGCAATTTCAGATGAACGCAGTAGAATTGCATTGGGAGCGCAATGGTCACAATGACAGTGCCGTGAAAGCTCAGAGGAGCGTCTAAGAAAATACAGTTCGGTAAGAGCGCCAAACACACGCAGTATAAGCGTGGTAGAGACGCCGTACAAGCGCCGAGGTTTACCACGGCGTTCATTTGACGATCCTTCTGCGCTTTCACGGCGCTCCTGTTGCGTTGCAGTAGGTGCTAATGAGTTGCTACGGCGATCTGACTTCTATCCCACAGCGTTCTTATCAGAACGCCAAGTGACCACGTTTGTCTGTGCTTGCTAAAAATGCGGGCCGTCGGGCGCCGTCCTATGCGATGCTGAGGCGATGTTTTCAATAGGACTGCGCTCACCTCGGCGTTCTGAATATTCATTGGACGCTGTGAGAAAGCTGCTTTAGTTTGATCACATGAACACTAAGTGCTCAGACGTAACCTTTTTATGATGAAACCTTAATTAAGCCGTTTTGTTGTTAATCATGTTGTATTGACTTGTGGATTTTTACGTTAGTTATATGAATCATTCCTCTATTATCAAAAGCGGTTCGACAATTCGGTTGTTTTGGAAAAAAGACAGTTTTCTATATTCGGCACTACATACGTCAAGGGGCGTCCATGGCCGAGTGGTTAAGGATTCGAACCCATATTGGTAAAGGGCAAGTTGTTTGAAGTCAACGACCTGACAAGGACTTCGGATTCTTTCATGTGAGGAAGCTTTCCAGCTAGCTTACGGAACGTCGGTGGTTCTACTCAGGTGCCCGTTCGTGCCTGAATTATACACGGATGGGCACCTGAGGTCTTCCTCCACCAGTAAAGTTGAAACGTCGCCAAATGACATAAACTGTGTCGGTGTGACATAAAACCCAATTAAACAAACAAACATTCGTCAATGTCATTAGCTTAGTTTGTTTGCATGTACATTTTATGATCCTCTTTAATAATATTTTGGTTAATTAGACTTTTGCCATAACGCATTGTTTAGTAAATAAATAATGCAAAGAGACTTGTAAAATTCGTCCTCATAAAAACAATGCACAAACCTTCAAGGTTTAGAATTATATATATATATATATATATAATTTTTAAAAAAAAAACAGTATTACCAACCTTATTATGTAAAAACTATGAAGTACTACAAAGAAAGATATCTACTAGTTTGTATACGTGTATGCATGTTTTTTGTTGCATTTACAGATAGAAAAAATCAAAACTTGGCAAACTATATTCGCAGAAAAACAAGCTATTTGCAAACCAAAGCTTTCAAAAGCATAGTTCAACATCTTATGTTGCGGCAATGTACTTCAGTAATAATACTTTTGTTGACAATCAGGGTTTTGTGAAGTTTTAAGAAGGACGTGTTATACATTAAAAAGGCGAATTACAGAAACTCACAACACAGCAAAGTGTACAAGCAAAACAAATATGGGATGCCTACTTCAAACACAGAAACCAGATCCTGACATAAATGCGGATTTCGACACATTAAATGTTGCGGCAATACATTTCAGTACTATAGCTTCTGCTGACACTCAGAAACATATAAAGTTTGTAGAAGGACGTGATGAAAATTTAGAAGATGAATTTCAGAAACTAAAAACTCAGCAATGTGTACCAACAGAAGTACAAGCTCCGTCAAATGTGAACCAGGAAGTTCCGAGACAGCTTTCAACTCCTGACACAAATGTGTTGACTGAAGAACTAGGAGATGACATAAACGTTCAGAAATTCTTTCCCGATCTTGTATATTCTATTGACACCATGCCTTTCTGTGATCACTTATACGCTAAAGACATTTTAACACATATCCAAATGGATACAGTTCAACAACGCGTGAGACTTCAAGATCACAGAGACGCCAACAGAGAATTATTAATGATCCTGATAACAAAGCGTCCAGAAAAGGCTGTAATGATTGAAGTGTTGTATGCAACTCAGCAACAACATTTACTGAAACTGTTTTACCCCCGACCGTAATGACTTCATAATTATAAAATGTTTAAAATAGAACGTTACACACAGTACATATGCATGAAATTGAAAAAAGGTTATTACTTGTTTGTTCTATTAAAAAGCGTTGAGGAAGGTGTTTAACTTTTTTCTTTATTGCTGCATCAATTTTCCTCAAATGCACGTGTGAGCATTCCTAATGGATGTTGATATCGCTGATGACGTCAACTCGGAAATTTCAGATCGACTGGAGCGTTAACCAGAGTTGGTGTCGCTGAGATCTAGATAATCTTAAATTATGCCAGATCGCATCTTACCTAAATGCACGAGTTTTCTCTGTTAATGTAAAAGATAACTTTATTCTAATTTGCATATTGCAAATTTTTTCTTTGTCTCTCTGTCTATGAGAACAATTGGAACTAGTAATTATATAACCCAATGCCATAATAAAATGTATGTTTATCTTAGAATTGTGATAAAAATTTGTTTGAATAGAATAGTAAATGCTTATTAGAAAAGTTCATCGGAATGATAACTAACTATACAAAGTAAGCAAACGTACATTTTTAACATAGTAAGGCATTTTTTATATTGAAAAAAAGACGACCGGTAAGAAATTACACGAAAAACAAGTCGTTTATCTGCTTATCAGAAGAATGCCGCGATGCTGAATAGTGGAGATCTGTCGAACGCTATGAAAGCAACAAAATACACTGAAACTGCAAAGTTGGTTTAACTGTCGTTTGTTAAAGACAGATACTGAATATGTGTAACATGTCCCATCTCCCGGATGTAAGCAGTATTCAGTCTTAAATTAAATATAAAATGTGATTTAAAAATATTATAATCAACAACACTAAAAAACGACGAACGCATTTTTATATCTGTCACACAGATAATTTGACATAATTAGAATATTTCATGATTTTTTATGTACACATAAGAGGTAGTTAGCTTTTTTATACGGCAAAAACAATCATTTTATTAAAAGGATAACAAGAAGTCGTCTTCAGTGATTCTTATGATGAGGTTATTTAAAAAGATAACATCGTAACACTTTTGAAAACAATGCCAAAAAAAACAGATATATATTGATACTGATTCTAACAAAATATTATAAGCATTTGCTGCCTGAAGTGTCTATTGTGAGTAATAAATATATAATAAGAAATATAAACAAAATGAAGGATACCCTAAAATTGTAGATTTGATAGTAAAATGAATAAAATACCCACTCTTTATATCATGTTATATTCACGAATAGATTGTTATAATAAAAACAGGAGACAATCAATGAGGCACACTTTTATTAAGATTCAAAAAGACATAGTATGTAATTATGTTTTCACATAATAACACTGCATATTTTATATTCGCTTCCAAAATAAGTATTATGGTTATCGAAAATGCATTTTTAAGGATGTGAACATAATATAAAAATATGTACGAGGATTGTTTAAAAAAATATCGAGTCAGAGAACCCAACTAATGGTCTTACTTTTCAATATAATCGCCCTCTACATCAATGTACTTTGCCCATATGCGCTCCAACTTGTTTAACCTATCAAAATATAACTCTATTTTGGTCCTCAAGGAACTCATTGACCGCCTCCATTACACCTTTATTGCTTCCAAAACGTCTTTTATGAAGCTTGGTTTTGAGTTTCGGAAACAGATAGAAGTCAGAGGGGGCAAAGTTCGGAGAATTTGGGGGATGGGGAAGAATTTCAAAGTTGCAGTCAGTTGCAGCAGCCATCGCAACTTTGGATGTATGAGCTGGCGCATTGTCGTACAGGAGCAAAATGCCTTGAGTCAGTTTGCTCCCCACCCCCCTTAACGCGCGATGTCCTGACGCAGACGTCAAAATTCGTCTGCATAGTACGTACCGTTTATGGTACGACCTTGCTCAAGATAGCCAGTCATGATTATCCCCTGACTATCCAAAAAATTGAAGCCACCATCTTCCCTGCCGAGGGCACCCTCTTGAATTTCTTCGGAGGGTCGAGCCAGGGTGCTTCCACTGCATGCTCATTTTTTTTATTCTAGATTGAGATGACGGACCAATGTTTCATCCTGTGTAACGATCCGGTAGGTCTCGTAGCGAGACAAAAGATATCTTGAAATGTCAAGCCTGGTCCGTTTCTGGTCTTCAGTCAACTGTATGAGGACCATTCTAGCAGAAACTTTTCACATGCCATAGACATCAGTCAGAATTGCCTGAACTGAACCAAGCTTATACCCACTTCCATAGCAATGCTTTGAAGGTCTTTCGCCTTCTGTCGCACATGACCAGATCGTGCACAGTTTCTGCAGTTTCATCGTTGGTGGCCTCTTTTGGCCACCCAGGCCGCTCATCATCTCCAATGCACTCCATGCCCCTTTTAAATTCAGCAGCCCATTTTTTCATGGTGCTATAGGAAAGGGACTCCTTCCCAAGTGTATCCATGAAGTCTTCATGGATTTCCTTGGCGACATCCCTTTCTTACAGAGGTACTTTATGACGGCTCTGATTTCAACTTTCTACATTTGGTCTAAATAACACATATACCTCTTCTGATCAAAAGTGTGTTTAATGTTACTTAATCTGTGTAAAACCGCGTGTAACTCGGGCAGTAATCTTCAATAAGGTATCGGTATCGACGTATTGTATGTAAATATCAGTGTAGTGGCTAGAAGTATATCGGACGGATAACATTTTGATCATACCTCGTACAAAATGATAAGTCAATCAAATTGTTGCTAAGGATTTCCTTAATTGCATACACACATGTTATGTAAAACATACTTTATCTACTTAATTTGAACAAAAATCCATTTGCATCATAATCTAAACATCTAGACACAAAACATATCATTAAAGAACTAAAAAGAAAAAAGTGAAAATGACTTGAAAAGGGCTAATAATTAGTTTTACAGTCAAGAACAATAACTCAGAAAATGTTAGAATATAAGTATGCTTTCGTAACGTCCCATGACTAGATAAATAAATACAAATAAATGGCACCCATGAATAGGCATGTTGTGTAGTGTAAATTAACCTAGTTCTACATGCAAATTATAAGATCGCAAACTTTTATGTAATCAATTAAAACAAAACATCGGAAAACGCAAAGGAGAACAATATGAAACTGTTTATTCATTATAGCTTAATATCTTTGTTAACTTAATGAAGATAATACTGATCCTATCAGAAAATAAACTTGTGATTAAGGACTAAAAACAACTTGAATCGGTTAACCAGCTTGCTTTCGGGACGTGGAAAGTTTTTCTTAGAAGCTCGCTTTTGCCTAAAATGAAACACGGAGGGATACTTAATATATTCCTACCCCAGTTAAATTCAAAGATCGCCGAATAACATTAAATATACTGTGTTCGTGACACCCTCTCCAAAAATCGTTTAGTTATTCTTATGGTCTTATTCATAATATTCATTAGACATTAATTTTTTTAATGACGCAATAGTATTTCATTGTCTCTTATAAGGTTAAACACGTAATAGATATTTATAGCAAATTGCTACGTAAACTGTTTGAAAGGGGTATTTTTTTTATCAAATTTGATATCCACAACGTGAACCAACAGAGAAACAATATGCCAATCGGTCTGATAAATGTTTTTGTTACATTTGATAACTTTACAAGAAATTCGTACGTTGTAGAGACCAATGAAAAAACAACTAAATTAAGTTTTGAAAATTTTGCTTTATCAGAGCAGCGTTTTTTCAATAATTTATATGCGTTTCTGGATAAACTTCGCGCTTAAGTAAGTACACGTAGTTCAGTTAGACGCTAATTAGGATTGTTTTAAATAGTTAAAGTCGGTCGTTCCTTCCTCCCTAAAGCTGTTGAACATGTTTCCAGTACTTGCACTAACCTATAACATCGATGTAAATATATAAAATACGTTCGATGCGATATTTCTATCCTTATATTAAAGGGAGATTTAAAATGAAAACAGTGTGCAGAATGATTATAGATTATATAATTGAACGAATGTTGCATATAAATTCAAATTGATTGTTGATAATACTAAATATTCAAAATACAAATTGAACAAAATGGTATCAGCATGTTATGGGAGTTTTATAGTAATGATAATCAGGGACAATTGAAATTTAAAAGGGCTATTTTTTACATAAAGCATCAAAAACATGTACTATTTTCAAGATGATCGTTCTATTTGACTTTAGTTGCGAAACATTACGTGACATTTTTTTTCTATCATATTCAAATCAAAATAAAAAATATTAAAAAAGAGAGTTACTCTGAAGCAAATTATGATAGTTATTTCAAAGCACAATTAAAGGTATATGGACGTTAACCATTAATAAAGACTTTGTGTACCCCTCTTTGTTAATTTTATCTGATAGCTTTTCATACTACACTTGTTCATTGAATCGGAATTGGTAATAATCTTTTTTTCATTCACGTCAAGCTCGAAATGGGTACATACGTTTACACAATGAACAAAGTGAACTTCACAAACTACGAAAAAGGAAGTTTTAAACCAGATATAACATATAAATACAATAAGAACAAATCATTACTTTTGTTTGTTCTATGACGCATTTATAAAGAACAATGAATAATTAGTTACAATTGCTAACAAACAAATTAAGGACTTTTGGTTTTGTAAATAACCTTTGTCTTATACAGGAACAGTTATTTACCCACTAGACGAGAGAAAAAGCATAAACTTTACGAGCTTTCCTGTAAGAGTTTGAAGATTTGGTAAACAGGTTAAAATGTCTAAACAAATAAAATTCAGTGGCGACTGTGACGATAATATTGAATTATCAAATCATCAAACTGTCGCCACATGGAAACCCATTAATTCCGGTGGATTTGCATTGAGTGAATCTGAACTACGACCTGGTGATGATATAACATTCAAAGTAGAAGGTAGCGGCCGCTGTGATGTTGGTTTGATAATGGGTAGTAAAGATCAATGTTGCTTCAGCTACTCACACGAAATACGGGTTCATCGAAAAACATGCGTTGGAAAAATTCATTTCAATGAAACTGGAAATCAGGTAATTGTTCAGCATTTATTTTAAACGGTTAAACTGTTGTCATTATTTTTCACCACAATGTTGGATCTTAACGTCTCATGATTTATTAGAAGTCGAATTTAAGATACATAATTAGGCTATCCAACTTATGTTTAGGACGCAAATTGCACAAAAACTAACAAGTGTTTATTATTACCAAGTATGGATTTACGATATCAAGTTATTAGGAAAGGTTTAGTTAACAAAATGAAATGTCACATATCTTTTAAATAACCCCCAACTCATAAAACATTTTCATAA